AAAAAAAAAAACCCTGAGCAGAAAAAGATGACAAACAACAGGCCACAACAAACTGCATCAATTGGACGATTTACCTGCTTTACCTATGAATTTATTTTTATTTACTGTATTTTATATTTATTTTGTATTACTGTACGTATTCGTCTATTCTGATGTCTGTCTTTTTGCTTGTCTTGGGCATGCTGTAACACATCAATTTCCCTTCGGGATCAATAAAGTCTTATCTATCTTTAGAGAATAAGAACCTCCTTCTGTCCTGACGCACCCTCATGCAGGTGCTGCAGAATGACCCCCCCCTGGTGGCCCAGCGGTAGAACTGCGGGAAATACTGTCAGTGTCACACGTGTGCTTCTTGTGGCCTGAGCCGAGACACCATTTAGTTCTCTACTGAACGTTTCCCCTGATTGGCACTGAGACACACTACATCTCGCCCTTTGCTGTTCCTTTTCTGTTACAGGTGAAAAAATATTTTTATCGCAGATTAATTTTTGGTCTGCAATAAATACATGTGTTCATTGAACTCTAGAGATGGGACTGAGGAACTGTCTTTTCTAACAATAAGGACCTGCGAACCCTTCTAATGCATTTGAGAAGTATCGCATGCGACCTTTATTAGTCACAGTTCAGACAACACATCGACTCCACAGGATGAAAACTCCCCCTCCTTGTTTTTATTTGCATCTTCCTTTCTGTCCGTTTCTAAAATATGTTTTATTTTATATCACATTTTTATGCTCTGACTTTATTGAGTACACGTCGTCACTTTTTCGTGCATGCAACTTATTCAGACACAACACGGGCACTTTTCTAAACTTGTTTGTTTTTTTTTAAATATAAACCGAATTAGTCGATCCGACAGATACCGAGCGCCTCCGAAAGCGGACTCGTCGGTTTCAGCCGCCGGGTGACGTCATGGCCCTGGGCTCGGCCCGCACCTGCGCCGTGGTGTGTCGCCGACAGAGTAGCGCATGCGCGGTGTGGGCCCCCCGTCCTGCCTCTCCAGCGGTCTGAGGCGCTGCGGAGCCTGGTGGTTACTGGCGGTGGTTATACAGTGGTTATACAGCTATAACTGGCTTCGGCGGAAAATGGGGGAGAGAAGCTGAGTTTTAAATGGAGGCGCTGTGTATTCCGAGAGGGCCTGGGCCCGGAGCTTCTGTCGGCATGGAAACAGGGTGGTGGAAAGTTCTGGAAGGGTCACGTGATCCCTCCTCGTGGCGGGGAGGGGGGTGACGCTTTTGAAAAAAATAACCCCGCGCGCCGGGGGCTCTCTCGCGACCGCGCTGTAACGGCCGGCGCGGCGGAGGCGACCGTGTCTCTTCAGCGCCGCCGCCGCCGCCGAGCAGCGAGTACCGGGGGGGGTGGAGTGCGAAACCGGCGAAGGGGGGAAAGTGGTGTCTTTTCCCCTCCCCCCTTCTCTTTCGGTCGCTCCGTCCGGCGACAGGCGGCCCGGGTCCGGGAGAGAACGCGCAGCCGGGGCACCACGTGAGGGGCGCCGGCCAATGGGGGAGCGCGCTGCGCACAGGAGGGTATAAATACGGGGCAGCTGCTGCGGGATCCCGGCAGCCATAGAGGACCTCCGAAACACCCCCGGACCGCGGAGTGGCGACGCGCAACTTTTCACAATTAAACCGCAACAGGCCGCCTCTTCGCGCAGAATACCGGCGAGAGCCTGCGGGGACATCTCCGGCACAGGGAGGCGTCCTGTCTCAGTGCTGCGGGTATTTCACTCTGTGTCTCCACAGAGACGGAAAGGTAAATGATGAACAAACACATGAGCGGTTCCGAGCGAACCGTCGGGGCACAGTGTACTTATCCTTTTTTTTGTTGTTGTTGTAGTTCGTTGTATTTTTTTTTAAAGCGAAAAATAACCTTAAGACTGAACGCTAATGTAATCAAACGGGGGAAATAAAAGCTACGCTGAAACGTAATACGTGCGTATTACTCGGGAAACATTTCCTGTCGCCATTTTGTTGTTGCTGGGTTTGGCAGGCAGGCGATGCTCTCTCGGAAAGAGATCATGGACGGTTTGAGCGGCGAAGTGCCGGTGTAATCTGCAGTTTTCGCTCTTTGCGTTGGGACTCGTACGAACCTCTTTTGGAACGAAAGTAGTAGATAAACGGGCTCTGTCTGCACGGACTCTGGTGTATTTCCTTGCGTAAGTAGCGGGGCAGCAGGGAAAATCCTTCTGATTTCATCATGCGGGTATGAGTCATGTAACCAGGGCAGAGGTGTGTGGACACAGCCGATTGCTGGCGTGTGCACACGTGTGTTTGTATTTATAGGCCACCCCGAAGCGTCCTTTTTACCTTATTGTATAAGCTTGAAACTCCTGTCGGTCGGCTCTGCGCATATTGTAACTGCCACTTCAAAAGTCCTGCTGTTTGTAGTGGTAGGCTTTAACGGGTTGTATGATGCTGTGCTTGTGTTCATTCGCCCTGGGCATGAATAATAATTCCTGAAGATCATTTCCGTGGTTGTGACAACAAGCCGGTGCCGGCATGAGCGGTTGCCCATAGCAACGACGGTCAAGTGTACTTGTCTCTCCGTGCCATTCTAAATCTGTGAATGTAATCTGTACCAAAAACGCATCTAGCCAATAAAATTTAACTTGACACTGTTTATTTTTCTAATTTATTTATTTTTTAAACTTGCCCACTGGGCAGCATCGCATTTCACAGCGGGGAAGCGGCGGGGGGGCTCATGTTGCTTTTAGACTGAATTCTGACAAGTGTGGATCGATAATTCTGTAACCGAGGGCTGAACACATCACCAGCTTTCAATCTGATTATGTAGTATTTATAACGTTAAGTGTTTGAGCATTTTATGGTTATGTATTGTTACATTACAATCCTGTGAGTTATTTACAGAACAGGCAGCAGGGTGGTGTAGTAGGCAGTGTTTTGCACTCCTAACTGGACAGGTGTGAGTTTAAGTCCCAGGTATGCCCCTGCTGTTGTATCATTTAGTAGTGTATTTAATTCGCACTGTTTCTGCGAAATCCCCTTCTGTGTAAATGGGAGCAAATGTTAAGATGCTTGTAGATAAAATTAAGTCATTTTGGAATTGGAATAAATTGTAGAGCTTGTTCATTGAAGATGACTTCTATGAGGATCAGAAACATTATTTTTCTAACTTGTGGTAAGTGCATTTGGGAGAATATAGAGCAACATTGTAAATGTTAATCACATTATTGTTAGTTTGAAGATTGTTTTTGACATTGACATGTAACTTAAATTGCTCTTCAGTGTAAACCTGCCAGTCACGTTCCTGATCATCCATTTTTATAAAAACCCGTGAAGCTGCATAAGCTCTACATTTAAGGGATCTTCTGATATATTTAAAGCAGAGGTTTCTCTGAAACTGATCTACTGAATAAGTGTATTTAAACATAATCATAATTTGCCTTTCTTTTTGTGAAGTGCAGGTCTGACCTTGTGGATAACTGGAGTTCTTCAGTATGTGATGAATGTTTCATAATTGTATTGTATAGATTGTTACTTTAAAAAACTGTGGCTTCATCTGCTTGGTTCATGAATAAAGAGTTGGTTTGTAGAGACTGTTGTAATTACTGGGTGGTGTGGGTTTCATTCAGGCTTTAAATCGCATTACGCTACAGAGTTGTACAGCCCTGAAGTTCAAAAAGGGTTCCAGTGGTAAGTGATTGTGGAAGGCATTTTAGATAAGCTATTGCAGTATTAAGCATTTAATTGTCTAAGGATAACCTGCTTAAGCCAAATCTACAAATGGGGCAGATGAGACTAGTCTCAGTGTTGAGCAAAGGCAGGAGGAAGCTCTAAAACCTAGAGCAGAGGGGGAGGGGCGTTGGGCAGCATCTTGCCTGAAACCTGTTGGTGGTGGTGGGGCAGTTATATATAAGATTGTGGTGTAAAATTACAATTTGGAATGAAGTTTCTCAGTATTACTGAGGTGGATGCCTTGTAGAGTTTTGGGGCTCTAGTCCTAAGTGGGTTAAATTGTTAAACACGATATTCCATACTTTTCTCCAACACAAGTGTGGCATTAAAGTTCTCACTTGGCTTTGATGTTGTGCTTGGCCGTAAATGTGACCCAGATGGCTGTGTTTTGCTATATTTGTAATTCTGAGCCTTCAATCATGAGGCTGTTGGCCTTTTTTTAATTTGTGAATTGTGTGCTTGTATCACACGGTTCATTGTAGCAGACGAAATTGGTGCTGGTATGATGTGATTTCACATGAGTACTTGTTCTGGCTTCCTACATCAGGTTTGCTGTAAAGAGACTGACTTTCTATTTGCCAAATGTCAGGTATCACAAAAGCATAGCATTGGATATTCCTTTTGCCTGTTTTTCAGAAATAAGCAAAACCAAAAATTATCAGCAGTTCATCGAGTCCCTCTTAAATATGGAGCATTGCATTGGGTTTTTCCACATAATAATCTTTTATGTAAGATACATGTATCTGTACACTTCTTTGGAAGAAAATGCAGACAGGTAAGAAGAAATATAAGATTATACTTGTGTGCAGAATAGCAAGTAACTCTTCCGTTGTCTCTTGCATGGGGTCCCGGAAGTTAGTCCAATTGAGATCAGTAGCCCCAGCTCTGCTCCCGGGGACACTGTTCCTAGATTTCGCCCTTGCTGAGTTCATCACAGCCCAATTGATTTCAGTTTTCTTCTTGGGGCATATTGGGGTATTTGCTTTTGGCTCTTAAGAGGCAAAATTGCCTTAGTAATTGATCCTGTACCCTTTCCTGGGTTTCAGAACTGAAATTACTCCATTGGACCTCTGCAGAAAGCAAAGCTTATTGTGTAAGTCTGATCTGTCATTCCAACTGGTCTGTTTCCTAAATTAACCACATAATGAGAGCTGTGGTTTTAAAAATAATGGTAATCGGGTGAAGGGGAAGGGCTGTATGCAAATGTTGCTATTGAAGTGGGTAAGTGTTTGAAAATAAGGAGTGTTGAAACAATGTTTAGACATTAAGTGTTAACTACTGGCTGTTCAGAGCTTATCAATGAACAGCAGCAGAAAATGGTCTCTGAGCAGTGGTTTGGAATCACTATTTTAGACACCTGTTACTTCAAAGAAGATTGAAACATTTTTGCATTCAGGCTGCTTTTTTTAGCATTGGAAAGTGTTTTTCTAAATTGATATGATGTATATAATCCATTTTACACCTATGTCATAAGAGTTTCACAGACGCCAGCTGGAATCACATTCATGAATTAATCTGTAGGTGGCACTGTTGAGCTTATAGGCTTAAATACAATGTTACCTGTGAAGCATTGCATTATATGACTTTAAACGTTGTATTCTTCCTGCCAAAGGTCTCACGGGAATAAAACTACTGAACTGCAACTTCATAAACATTTCTTGTTTATGAAGACGTGTAAATTTGTTTCTGTTCCATCTCAAGATGCTGAACAGGAAAAGCCTATTATAGCAGGTTTGGTTTGTATAGCCCTTATACCATTGGAAAATTTAATGTAGCATAAATACCGTAAATAGTTACATTTGATGCGTTTTGTGATTGTTTTTCAGGTTTTCTGGATTCTTATGTGATGCAAAGCTTACTGTGACAAATTGTTAGGCTCAATAGAGTAAAATTGTACAGTGAAAGCTTCTTGAAAATAGTTATCCACATTTATAACTGAATCCAGAGGGGAAATGCTGAATGAACTATTATAGCATTTCTATAAGTGCTGATCTGACTTGAGACAGGTTCCAAACGAGAGGAGGCCATTTGGCCTGTTCATCCTGTCCAGTGGTCAGCAGTGAATTGATCCCCAGATCTCTTCCAGTCCAGGAGTTCAGGGTGTTGGCTTGAACAGCACGTCTGGGTAGCCTGTTCCACACTTCCTCAGCCTTTTGGTTGTGGAAGTCCTTTCATTTCCTGGTTTTAAATGCTCTTACACAAAGTTTCCACTTGTCCTCTGGTTTGTGTTTCTCTGTTCACTCTGAAGACATCCACTGGCTTGACTGTCAGTGCCTGTGAAAGTTCTGAATACGTGTTTCAGTTCCACTTGTAGTCTTCTCTGTTCAAGACTAAAAAAGTTTAGTTCAGCCTGTTAGTACAGGACATGACCTTCAGCCCTGAAATTAATCTGGTTGCTGTTTCCAGAGCACCAATATCTTTGTCCCATGTCACATGGTGACCATAATTCTTAAGGGTATTTTATATTTGGGGAAATGTAAGTGAATTATCAATGCAAAATGTTAATGTTTTTTTAAACAGGCTCTGAACAAAATGCCAATGCTACACATCTTTAAGTTTTAGGAAGGGTGTAATTAATTGTATGTACTCTATAAATGTCTTTTGGCTTGTTCAGACACTGTCAGTGGAGTTTGATATGAAGGTGGGAACTTGTAGAATATGGCAGTTATTTTAAATAACTTCCACACATCATAGTATGCACAGAAAAATAAGCTTCACTGATTTATATATTTAAATATATTTAACCACTTCATGTCCCCATCTGAAGGACCAAGGAATATATAAATTCGAAAGTAAGTTGAACTTTTCATAAATAAAGCCGTCTACCTCCTGTCTCTACACACACAACTCTGTCTTCTGGTAACTTTAGAGCTGCTTGTAGAGGTCTCAAGCAGTTTCATTCAGGTTCTGTGAAGAGTCTAATGAGGCAGGTGCCCGAGTCAACTGAAACCGCAGACCCCTGAAACCAGCCCATCCATGTCCCACATCTAAGACCTGCTTAAGGAAAAGGTACTCAATGATGGCACAAATATAGACTTTAGCTACATCAGAGAAGTTGTGATGTCAGTATTTTCCTACTCACTTCAAGAATAGAATTAGCGCAATAAACCATTAAGATCATGTCTGAATGTTAAGTAGAGAAACTATAAGGCACATCTAAATGTAAAAGAATGAGAAGTTAAATTCTGAGTATTCTACCAGCAGTGGAAAAGGGGCTTTTCCTACATTGTGGAATTTAATCTTAAACAGATTTATTTGTGCCCTGGAAATTATTTTTCCCAGTGAGAGGTTCAGTGGGTCGGTGTTCTGGCAATTACAGGATTAAGGAGCTCTGTTAAGTGCAAGTCTGTCATGATAAAGATGTTTTACAATCCGTTTTCCATAAATTATTTTTGCTCAGTCTTCCCTAACCCCTCAAAAGATATTTCTCTTTTGAAGGTGGATCCTGATGATGCAAAGGAATTAAAATGCTGCCAAAGTGTGCTCTGTGCACTTGACCTTTTTAAACGATACTAGCAGGTAATGCCGCTTTTAATACTTCATGCCAAGTATTTATGCTACTGGGCACTGTTTAAAAAAAAAAAACATTTGTTTCTGAAATCTCACCCTGGAGGTGTTGAATAATGAAGGGATTTTTTTGGTTTGCTTAAAAGTTCATTTTGGCGGTGTGGTTTATAGATTTCTCCCTGATTATCTGCATTGCCTTTGAACTCCCTCCACACTATTGGAAAGCCTGGTGAATGGAGCTTACATGCTATGTCCTGTACAGCATGGGGCTCAACTCCAGTCCCCGAGGGCGGCTGTCCTCTGGGGCTTTTAGGTATCTAAAGCTCCAGGGTCTTAACAGCAAGGAAAGGCTTCAGCTCATTCACATTACTCAGAGTAGGAGGAAACCACGAAGCCTTCTGGCCCCCTTAATAATAATATTATTAATAATAATAATAATTGTGTACACTTATATATAGCTTTTCTGGATACTCCACTCAAAGCATTTAACAGGTAATTGGGACTTCCCTCCACCACCACCAAAGTGAAGCATCCACCTGGATGATGCGACGGCAGAAAGCTCACCACACATAAGCTATCAGTGGGGAGGAGAGCAGAGTAATGAAGCCAATTCATAGAGGGGGATTATGGTCTGGAGTTGCGCTGTCCTGCTCTACTGGGTAAAGCTGAGTGTTAGTGTGCAGCCCACATCCATTGCTTTGTGTAGCTAATTGAAAGGTTTTAATGTCGAATTGTCACATGTCATTTCCCTTTTCAGGTTTGGGAGAACAAGTGCAAAGACGTATAAGTGACGACAAGAAGATCGCATTCTCGCCCGTCGGTGAAAACCCCGAGCCTTCAGGATGTCGTTTGTTAAAGCAGAACCCCCGCCCGTGGTTAAGAACCCTCCTCCTCCCGAGTACAGAAACCCCAGGAAGCCTGGACGCCTCACCAACCAGCTCCAGTACCTGCAGAAAGTGGTGATAAAGGCTCTGTGGAGGCACAGCTTCGCTTGGCCCTTCCAGGAGCCTGTAGATGCTGTGAAGCTAAACCTTCCAGTAAGAGCTGTTTCACAGTTGCCTGAACTTTCCATTAACTCTCGTTCATGATCTGCCAGAAGCAGTAGCTTGAATAGGGGGACACGATGAAGTTCCTCTTAAAATGGAAACTGACCAGGCAAGATTGGGAAGATGTGTGTGTGTTTTGTGATCTCTACATTGTCAGTACTCAATTTGTGACCACAGTACGGGACATGCATGGCGTCCTTGTCGTCTGTATATTACATTTGTCGTAATACAGTTTAGGCGTGGAGGGGATGTTGCCAATTCAGGGCTGAACATGAAAGGCTGGTCAGACTTTTACACCATTGTTCCCACATGACTACGTCAATCGTTCTGAAAAATTTCCCCGAGGGTGGGCTTTCCTTGTCAGCCCTTGACGTGGTTTTACTTGGATTTATATATTTTTTATTCTTGCACAGGACTATTATACCATCATCAAGACACCCATGGACCTGAGCACCATAAAGAGGCGCCTTGAGAACAACTATTACTGGAAAGCAATGGAATGTGTGGAGGACTTTAACACGATGTTCACAAACTGCTATGTTTATAACAGGGTATGTGAGTGTTTAACCTTGCCTTTTCTTTAGGGATTGAGCAAATAGTCTTGTCTCTTTAGGATGCCTGCCTGAGATTTCAGGTTCCCAACAATTTACTGGATGTTCTAATTAGATGTTTTTGTCGGGTATTGGTGTAAATGTACGTTTTTTTACCCATAGTGTATTTTAACTTTTAAATTCTAAAATTTAGAATTGATTTAATGTCAAGGAAGTGAATGTGAAATTGTATGTGACGAGAGTTTATACAGTATATCATTTTTACTGCATGTTGAGCGTTTGTGTCTGTTATCCCTGTGATGTACTGGCGTCCTGTCCAGGGCGTATTCTGCCTTGCTCCCGTTGCCTGCTGGGATAGACTCCTGCTTCCCCGCCGCCGGAAATTGGATGAAGGTCTTTAATCATTAGCTGTGCTTCTTGACTTCCACACAGCAGGATACTACGCAGTCTCAAAGTGATGCAGCTGAATAGAGTCAGGATTATGGTGATAACACTGTGGATTGAAAACGTTCTGTCTCCCAACAGCCCGGAGATGACATTGTGTTGATGGCACAGGCCTTGGAGAAGCTGTTTCTTCAGAAAGTAGCTCAGATGCCTCAAGAAGAGGTTGAAATTACACCAACAGTGAACAAAGAGGGTGGAAAAGGTAGGATGCCTCTCCGGCAGGCACACATTCTGCAGTTTTGTTCCTGGTGGCGTGTCCTTGATGAAGGTTGAGATGAAGGTCTTTAACTATTGGGTTGATGGTAGTCTTCGTGTTTTGCAGGTCTAACCAAGCTGAAGTCGCGGTCTCCTGTATCTGAGGTTGTATTCCAGCAGACGGTGACGGTGATTCCTCCGGATGCCCTGCGTGCCATCCCTTCTGCCCCTTTGATGCCAGCACAGCTCTCATCCAAAGTAAGTTTGTGGCCCGTACCTTTTCACTCTTCGTTGCACTTTTCCTGGATATTCTAGTTAGCTTTGGTTTTAAGAGGTATGCCAGGGAATTAGTGAGATTTGTTGACTGCATTTTCCCTTGTTGTCTCTCTCTTTATGGTACTACACTGCCTCTACAATGTAGTGCTGTAAGGCAATGGAATTTTGTGTGTTTCTATATCATTTGCTAAATCCTTGCTCACGCAGGTTAAAGAAAATTACAGTGCAGCATGTAGTTTAAGTAGCCGTTTCTTCCAGTGAGTTCGAAAGAAATGATGAGGGTGAAACATTAAATTAAAGGAAATGTTAAATTCTTCTGTGGTGTTCAGTGAAAGTGTTTGTGGTTTCAGATCAAAAAGGGGGTTAAAAGAAAAGCGGACACTACAACTCCAGCTGCGTCTGTTGTCACGAGCTGTGAGTCGTCGCCAACGCCTGCTGAGCCAAAGCCTTGCAAACTGGCTTCAAGAAGAGGAAGCGGTCGACCCATCAAACCTCCAAAGAAAGACCTGCCCGATTCTCAGCAGCAGCATCAAGTTGGGAAGAAACCCAAACTGTCCGAGCAGCTCAAGTGCTGCAGTGTAATTCTGAAGGAGATGTTTGCAAAGAAGCACGCAGCCTATGCTTGGCCTTTCTACAAACCTGTCGATACAGAAACACTGGGACTGCATGATTATCATGACATCATAAAGCACCCAATGGACCTTGGCACTATCAAAGTAAATGTCTCTTCTGTCACATGTTGCAATGGTCAGGGAGATGGGGATGCCTCTTCTTTTGAATTAAATGAACATTTTCAGAGCTACAGTGCCCTCTAAACGTATTGGGATAGTAAAGTCTAAACTGGATATTCATTATGAACTCGGACAGTCAGTTCTCAAGGAACAAAATAAGTAAAA